GGGCTTCCCTCTCTAAAGGGGGGGGGGGCTTCGGAGCTACCTCCCCCTCCCTTCCTTTGCGGCCGGGGTCACGCGGGGGCTCGCCATCGGGGTCGCGCGTGCGCGGCGCGGCGCGCGTTGTAGGCGCGGGCCAGTGGGCAGGCTTTCGCACATTGAGGTTCCAGGAGGTGTTTCGGCGTTTTCGGTCTCACGGGGCCGTTTCCGGAGCGGCAAAGGCGGTAACTTGGGGTCGACGACGACAACGACGGCGGCGGCGGCGGCGGCGACGACGACGACAGGGTTAGGTTTTGGGTTTGGATTTAGGTAACATCAAGACCCCGACCCAGGGTTTTCTCGGCCCCTGGGTCGTGGTCTCGTTTTCTCGGGCCCCGGTTCGTTTTCTCGTTTTCTCGTTGTCTCGGTCCCTTGGTCGCGGTCTCGGTTTTTCGGGCTCCGGTTCGTTTTCTCGTTTTCTTGGTTTTTCGGCTCCTGGGTTTTGTTTCGTTTTCTCTGACCTTGGTTCGTTGTCTTGTTTTTTCGTTTCCGCGGCCACTGGGTCGTGGTCTCGTTTTCTCTGACCCTGATTCGCTGTCTTGTTTTCTTATTTTATCGTCCCCTGGGTCGTGGTCTTGTTTTCTCGGACCCTGGTTCGTTTTCTCGTTCTCTTGTTTTCTCGGCCCCTGTGTCGTGTTCCAGTTGTCTTTGACCTTGTTTTGTTTTATCGTTTTCGCATTCTCTCTGCCCCTTGGTCGGGGTCTCGTTTTCTCGGAACTCGTTTCGTTTTCTCGCTTTCTTAACTTCTCGGCTCCTGGGTCGTGGTCTCGTTTTCTCGGGCCCTTGGGTCGTGGTTTCTTTTCCTTTGGCCCTGGTTCGCGATATCGTTTTTTTTGTTTTCTCGGTGTCTGGGTCGTGGTTCAGTTTTTTGGGGCCCTTTTTAGTTTTCTTGTTTTCTTGTTTTCTCGGCCCCTGGGTCGTGGCTTCGTTTTCTCTGACGCTGGTTTGCTTTCTCGTTGCCTCGTGTTCTCGGCCCCTGGGTCGTGGTATCGTTTTTGTCGGGCCATGGTTAGTTTTCTCGTTTTCTCGGTTCTTGGGTCGTGGTCTCATTGTCTAGGACCGATATTCGCGTTTTCTCGGCCTGGGTCGTGGTTTCGTTTGCACGGACCTTGGTTTGTTGTATCGTTTTCTCGTGTTCACGGTCCCTGGGTCGTTATCGTGTTTTCTTTGACCCTGGTTCATTGTCTTGTTGTCTCGCTTCCTTGGCTCCTGAATGTTTGTTTCGTTTTCTCGGGCCCTGGTTCGGTTTCTCGTTTTTCTCGTTTTCTCGGCCCTTGGTTTGTGTTCCGGCTTTCTCGGGACCTGGTTCGTTTTCGCGTTGTCTCGTTTTCTCGGCCCCTGGGTCGTGGTTTCGTTTTCTCGGGCACTGGTTTGTTTTCTCGTTGTCTCGTTTTGTCGGCCCATGGGTCGTGGTCTCGTTTTATCGGGCCCTGGTTCTTTTTCGCGTTTTCTCAGCCCCTGGGTCTTGGTCTCGTTTTCTCGGTCCCTGGTTTGTTTTTGTTGGACCTTGGTTCGTTTTTTGTTGTTTTCTCTGCCCTTGGGCCGTGTTCTCGTTTTCTCGGGCCCTGCTTCGTCACTTCGTTTTCTCAGCCCCTGGGTCGTGGTCTCGTTTTCTCTGACCCTAGGTCGTCGTCGTCGTCGGTCGCGCGTCGTCCGTCGTCCGTCGCCGTCTTTGCATGACCTCGTCCTCGTCGTGACGACCACGACGAGGTCATGCGAAGACGGCGACAACGACGGCGACGGCGGCGACAACGACGACGAGGACGGCGACGGCGTCGTACGAAAACGTCAAGCGACGGCGACGGCAACGACGACGGCGACGGGGGAGGATCGTCCGGCAGGGTGAGTTCAAGGGAGGGGGGGGGTAGCTTCCTGCAGGGGGGTCCAAATAGAGGGGGTAGCTAAGCCCCCCCTTTGGAAAAAGGGGGTGAGGGGGGGGGAGATTCCAAGGCGGCAGCAGGGGGAGGGGGAGGTAGCTTCTGGGAGGGCAAAATCAGGGGGGGAAGGGGGGGGAGCTTCAATCAGAGGAGGGTCCACAGGGGGGGGTAGCTAAGCCCCCCCCCCTTGGAAAGGGGGGGAGGGAGGGGGGGGCTTCGGAGCGGCAAAAGGGGGAGAGGGGGTAGCTTCCAGGGGGTACCAACAAAGGGGGATGTAGCTTCCAGCAGGGGGGCAAGGGGGGAGGGGGGTAGTTCAGGGGGGACCATCCCTTTTGCGAGTTCCGCGCGCGCGCTCTTTCATTTCTACCACTACTAGTTGTTTTGCTGCTATTACGTGTACTTCGTTTGGAACTCCGACTGCTTTTACTCTGATTGCTATTGCTACTAGTATTACCATTATTGGTGCTACCACTGCTACTGCAAGTCGTACTACTAGTGCTACTGCTACGGTTACTAGCCGTACTAGTATCAGTAGTAGTAGTAGTAGTAGTAGTAGTAGTAGCAGTAGCAGTAGCAGTAGCAGTAGCAGT